CCAGTCTTTTTCAACCAACAACCCTACAGATTGGGTAGAAAACAGGTTTCATTTCCTGAAAAATACTGGCTGGGGAAATTGGAAGTTGTAGTCTACTACATCTAGAGAATGCCAGGTTAGGGGAAATAGCTCTCGGCCTCCCCAGAGCCTCAACAACAGGAACCTGGTTTACTGGCTGTGATCATCAAGCTAAAAAACAATATTCTTGAACTTCTTCTGTTTTTAAATGAAGGAGGGGGAAAGTCTGCCAAGTGATGTGTCACTTGAATTTACATGAACTTTCATTAACAAATTGACACCTCAGTTCCAAAGGCATTTCTCACTGGCTTTGCACATATTTCACATCCCAACCCAAAAAAGTATTGGTATCTTGGTTTGTGGGCCTGTTCCTGAGGTTATTAGGGATGCTGATTCAGAAAATTGCATTGGATCACTGCATCAACTCTAATTTCTTAGATATGGTTAGCATGGTTTACTAAGGGTGAGCAGATGAAGACTGGTAGATGCCACATGTTCTGTATCTCAAAAACTGGAGATGAGAGGGGGAAAGTTGTTCCTTTTTTGGACTCAGCAGGTCAAATATACCCAGAAACAAGGCTGATGTTTAAAGCACTAAAATGTATGTTGGCCAGTATTACCAATGAGGCTTTTATTGTACAGGAACTGTAGTAAAGCAATATTCCTGTTTGCATACATAAACAGTCATGCTTTATGTTGGATGTTAACTTAATACTGGAAGTTCAGGCTGTAGTGTCACTCTCTCTTATATTGTTCTCTCCTCTTTGCATTTGAACTGATGTCTGTCTCCAAAACTGCATAGGAACTAATCTCATTGGCCATTGGCCTGATATTGTGTTAAACCTGACCGCAAAAATGCCAATAATTTAGTGTACACAGGACTTTTGACTGTACAACCTTGTATTAAGGTCAAACTTGGGACTGGAAGTGTGCTATGACAGACCCCATTTAAAGCGTCATATAAAATACAGATTATGCACTTTGAATTGGATTATATGGCAGTGTGGATTCATATAATCCAGTTTAAAGCAGAGAATGTGGATTATTCATTTAGACAATCTGGAATTTTTTGGTAGTGTAGATCCAGTCTTAGTGAGTCCCAGAGCATAGGAAAGTTAGTGTTTGGATTAGAGCAGGGGTCCTCAAACTAAGGCCCAAGGGCCAGATACGGCCCTCCAAGGTCATTTACCCGCCCCTCGCTTAGGGTCAACCTAAGTCTGAAACGACTTGAAAGCACACAACAACAACAACCCTGTCTCATCAGCCAAAAGCAGGCCCAGACTTCCCATTGAAATACAAATAAGTTTGTATTTGTTAAAATTGTTCTTCATTTTAATTATTGTATTGTTTTAAGTGTTTTTTGCACTACAAATAAGATATGTGCAGTGTGCATAGGAATTCATTCATTTTTTTCCAAATTATAATCCGGCCCTCCAACAGTTTGAGGGCCTGTGACCTGACTCTCTGTTTAAAAAGTTCGAGGACCCCTGGTTTAGACAATCTGGATTATTTGGTAGTGTAGATCCAATCTTAGTGAGCCTCAGAGCATAGGAAAGTTATTATTTAGTTTGCAGCTTTAGGACAGTCAAGCCATTGAGTAAGATTTCCCATGGATCAGATCTTCCCATTGAGTGTATTCACTGGGAGAGAATCAACAGGGTATGGCTTATAGCAAATATGTCAACCCCAAGGCCCACATGGCAAATCCAGTCCGCCATGTCATTTTATGTGAACTACAATTCCTGTATTCCTCATCATTAAACATCATCACTACAGCTGACAGGAGTTGTGATATAGGAACATCTGGAAAGCAGCAATATGTTCTCTTTAGTTAGGATAGTGGGGTTTGAATTGAGACACAAGGCTTGTCAGGCATGTAGCCCCGGGGGGGGGGGGGGCTTGAGGGGCTTCAGCCCCTCCACGGTGGTTCGCGAAAAGGCCTTACTGGTGCATTATTTAAACTGTTACGTTTATTCATATCATGATCTGATCACCATACTCAATATATCCCATATGCATGGGGGTTTTGGGGTAATGATACAAAATATTTGCTAGACTAGACCCTCTTTCACTCAGAGTCAGCCCCCCCCTGAAACTCAGCCCCCCCGAAAAAAATTAGCCCCCCTCCCCCCCCCCCAAAATGAAATCCTGGCTACGGGCCTGATACTGGGTAAAAACTAAAGAGCACAGATTGCTATGTTAAAATAAAAATCATAGTTGGCCCTCTGTATCCATGGATTCTCCATCCATGGTTTCAATGCATGGCAATCATAAAGCTGATGTGGCCCCTGATGAAAATGAGTGTGAATAGAAGCAGGGGAGGGAACAAAAGGGAACAAGATTAGAAGCTCAGCATTTTTATTGCCTAGGGATTTCCTTCCTGCCCTGGTCCCTGTTTGCTGTGTGCAGCCTATTTTGGGAATCATCTTAAGTCAAAGACAAACTCACTTAGTTGAAGGGTTAGAAAGCATGATCACCAAGTTTGCAGGCGACACAAAATTGGGAGGGATAGCCAATACTCCAGAGGACAGGAGCAGAATTCAAAACAGTCTTGACAGATTAGAGAGATGGGCCAAAACTAACAAAATTAAGTTCAACAGTGACAAATGCAAGATACTTCACTTAGGCAGAAAAAAACGAAAATGCAAAGATACAGAATGGGGGACAATGCCTGGCTCGAGAGCAGTACGTGTGAAAAAGGTCTTGGAGTCCTCGTGGACAACAAGTTAAACAAGAGCCAACAATGTCTTGTAGCGGCAAAAAAAGCCAATGGGATTTTGGCCTGCATCAATAGGAGCATAGTATCTAGATCAGGGGTCCTCAAACTTTTTAAACAGAGGGCCAGATCACAGTCCCTCAAACTGTTGGAGGGCCGGATTATAATTTGAAAACAAACATGAATGAATTCCTATGCATAATGCACATATCTTACTTGTAGTGCAAACAGCACTTAAAAACAATAATTAAAATGAAGAACAGTTTTAACAAAAATAAACTTATTAGTATTTCAATGGGAAGTGTGGGCCTGCTTTTGGCTGATGAGATAGGATTGTTGTTGTTGTGTGCTTTCAAGTAATTTCGGACTTAAGTTGACCCTGAGTGTAGGCTGAGTAAATGACCTTGGAGGGCCAAATCCGGCCCCCGGGCCTTAGTTTGAGGACCCCTGGTCTAGATCTAGGGAAGTAATGCTCCCCCTCTATTCTGCCTTGGTTAGACCATACCTGGAATATTGTGTCCAATTCTGGGCACCACAATTCAAGAGAGATATTGACAAGCTGGAATGTGTCCAGAGGAGGGCGACTAAAATGATCAAGGGTCTGGAGAACAAGCCCTATGAGGAGCGGCTTAAAGAGTTGGGCATGTTTACCCTGAAGAAGAGAAGGCTGCGAGGAGATATGATAGCCATGTATAAATATGTGAGAGGAAGTCACAGGGAGGAGGGAGCAAGCTTGTTTTTTGCTTCCCTGGAGACTAGGACGCGGACCAATGGCTTCAAACTACAAGAAAGGCGATTCCATCTGAACATTAGGAAGAACTTCCTGACTGTGAGAGCTGTTCAGCAGTGGAACTCTCTGCCCCGGAGTTTGGTGGAGGCTTTTAAACAGAGGCTGGATGGCCATCTGTCAGGGGTGCTTTGAATATAATAATCCTGCTTCTTGGCAGGGGGTTGGACTAGATGGCCCACGAGGTCTCTTCCAACTCTATGATTCAGGGCCCTTCCACACAGTCGTATAACCCAGAATACCAAAGAGGATAATCCACAATACCTGCTTTGAACTGGATATCCAAGTCCACACTGCCATATAACCCAGTTCAGTGTGGACGTTATGCATCTGTGTTGAAGATGGGCCTCTTAGGTATGGGAGGATATTGTGAATGCACCAAAACCCTGCCTAGAAAAATTCTGAGCATTTGGATGTGCTGTGAATGTCAGGCTTAACAACACCATGCAACCTGTTGCTGGACAACAAATACTCTGATGAGTAATAGCTGGTCATGGGATGCATTGTCTAACTAGCCCTTTTTCGAAGAACAACTGTTGCACACAAGCCTTTTGGTACAAAGGATCTGGGTATGAGTGTTTCTTCATTTCCTCCACAGTCTTGCTTCTAAGATGAAGCAGAGAACAAAAGACTAATAAACATTAGAGAAAGAGTGGGAGAGAAAGGAAGTGAGAAGTGGAGGGAGGGAAGTGTTATGTACTTCTTGAGCGTGACCTAAAATTGCTTATTATTCTGGCAGCTTGCCCGACGTAGGAGAGCCTCCGGCCTTGAAAGTGCCCCGATGCAGCTGTATTTGCAAGCGAGGGAAGGAAAGTAAAAAATTTTATCTGCTTGTCAACAGGAGGACACTCTCTCTGATATAACAAAACCTTGTTCCTTTGTCCTTCAGAACCAGTGACAGAAAGAACGTAGGCATCCCGATACACTCACAGTTGCTACTCTTCAATCTACTCTGCTCTCTGGGAATGCAAAACTATTTTAAGTGCCACCTTGGTGCCAAAAGTGGAAGGCCTCAGGGCTGTTTTGACTGCTCGAGCAGGAATCAAGCGGGAGCAACTGAAACCAAGCAGGGTTTCTAGAGGAAAACGGAAAGCTACCAATCCCAAAGCTGGAGTTGACTGAATAGGGACACTTCCCGAATGAGATAAAATCAGGTCAGGGCCTCAGCCTTGCCTGGGTCAAAGTCAATGAAAAAGCATACAAAAGAAGAGAAGTAAACAACGGCACCGGCAGGTTGTCTCTTTTGCAGAGCCAATTTCCTTTCAGCCTGGGCAGGAATTTAAGAAGTTGCCTGCCTTTGTATCATGGCTCACTTCTATAGGAAAGGGGAAACGGCAATTACAGGAAAAAACAGAAACACCCACCCAACTTTTCTGAAATTTTCCATAGTTCAATTCCCTCTTTAGGTTTCCTCCTACCACTAGCTTGTCATCTATGAGGATAACTTGGATTTTCTCGCCAAGTTCCCCACAACATTACCTTGTGCCCCCCATAGAAGGCAATCTCTTCAGAGTTGGCGACCACCCGGGAATGCATGTAGCGCAGCTCCCCTTTCCGGCGAGCCTCCTCAGCCACTAGTTGCCCAAACTTTGGTGAACAAGCGCGCAGCACCTTGGCTGTGATGCCCACCACCAGCCCGGCAATGACCGAAGGCCAAACAGTGTCGGCCCCCTTGGATCTTGCCGAACTGACCAAGGTGTAGGACGTCACGATGAGGTCGAGGACCGGCTTGGTCACATTGGAGTAGAGGTGGGCCACCGAATTGGCGAAGGCCACCAGATCTTCGGTGAGAGACTGGTCTGGGTTACGTAGGCGCCCGTCCATGTTGCTGACCCGGTAGTAGGTCTGGCCTTGGAAGTACAGCTTATAGGCATGGTCCACCAAGCGTCCACGGAAAGCCAGACTCAGCTGCCCCTCCAGGTACCGGATGGCGCTGTTGACAAAGGTGGCCGGGAGAGCAATGAGCAGCCACTGCAAGAGCTGCCAGGCAAAGTCGTTGGGGTTCTTGCGGACGATGCAGCGGGCCAGTCGCCCATCTAGTTGGGCCACGTAGACTGAGAGGAAGGTACGGCTGGCGAGGGCGGCCGAGTGCAAGGCCAGGAGCCCTGTCTGCCGGCACAGTGGCCCTGGAAACAGCAGGCGCAGGAGACGCAGAAGGCGCAGGAAGAACACCCTGTTGACCCCGGGTGGTGATGCCGCAGCTGCCTCACCCGGCATCTCCCACTTGGTTGGTGGCCCATTGGCACTGGGCCTGCTGTTTGAGTTTGGCCGGAGCTCAGCGGTGGCCCACTGTCTCCTGAGGATGGGATACAACTTCTTGGCACCATATGCGGCCACCAGCAGTGCCACGGCCGCTCTCTTTGCCGTCACCCCTTGGGTCAGCCGTGATGCCACCTTGGCAGTGGCTAGGGGCATGTTGCCACCAAGGTGGGCCCAAGGCCCCTTGCTGCTGACCCCCTCTCCCCTCCTCCTCCTCCTCCTCCACCTCTTCCTCTGCCTCCTCCTCCAGCTCAGCCTAGTGCTCTCTGCCTGGCTGTGGCAACACTGGCTTCTCAGCCAGGCTCCGCTCTCATCCCATAATGACCCACCCTCCAACTGACACTCTGGGAGGGGACAGGGAAAGGGCCACCCTCCTCTAGATCATAGAAAAACCCTGAGGCCACGCCTAGACAAGACGTAGCAGGAAGGAGAAAAAAAACAACAGAAGCCTGGTCGTTTCTCCAAGCAGCCACTAGATGGCGCAGCGTAGAGATCTCTGCACAAACCAAGGTTGTACAGAGAGAGGCTTTTTCTCTGTGCTCCAGCCTGGGATCATCTTTTTGAGCCCAACCCTAATGTTATATCCCTTAGGATTAAATGGGACATAGTCCCAGGTAGTCAGTATGCTCAGGAATTTGCAGTAAAGCTAGATAATCTCCACTGTTTTGTTGGTTTGGATTGATCTGGCGCATCCAATGGGATTTTCGCCGGCATCAATAGGAGCATAGTGTCTAGATCTAGGGAAGGAGCCCCCAGTGGCGCAGTGGGTTAAACCCCTGTGCCGGTAGGACTGAAGACCGACAGGTCACAGGTTCGAATCCGGGGAGAGGCGGATGAGCTCCCTCTATCAGCTCCAGCTCCTCATGTGGGGACATGAGAGAAGCCTCCCACAAGGATGATAAAAACATCAAATCATCCAGGCGTCCCCTGGGCAACGTCCTTGCAGACGGCCAATTCTCTCACACCAGGAGTCACTCCTGACACGACAAAAAAAATGCTACTCCTCTATTCTGCCTTGGTTAGACCCAACCTGGAATATTGTGTCCAATTCTGGGCACCACAATTGAAGAAAGATATAGACAAGCCGGAATGTGTCCAGAGGAGGGCGACTAAAATGATCAAGGGTCTGGAGAACAAGCCCTATGAGGAGCGTCTTAAAGAGCTGGGCATGTTTAGCCTGAAGAAGAGAAGGCTGAGAGGAGATATGATAGCCATGTATAAATATGTGAGAGGAAGTCACAGGGAGGAGGGAGCAAGCTTGTTTTCTGCTTCCTTGGAGACTAGGACGCGGAACAATGGCTTCAAACTACAAGAAAGGAGATTTCACCTGAACATGAGGAAGAACTTCCTGACTGTGAGAGCTGTTCAGCAGTGGAACTCTCTGCCCCGGAGTGTGATGGAGGCTCCTTCCTTGGAAGTTTTAAACAGAGGCTGGATGGCCATCTGTCAGGGGTGCTTTTTCAGTCGGAAGAGGCAAACGGTGCTTTCTCAATCGGAAGAGGCTAAAGGTGCTGCTGTTTTTTGCCCAGGGGATGCCTGGATGATTTGATGTTTTTATCATCCTTGTGGGAGGCTTCTCTCATGTCCCCGCATGAGGAGCTGGTGCTGCTGTTTTTGACACAGTTCTCAAAAACAGCAGCACCATCCAGAAGCTGTCCCTCTCCTTCAAGTGTTAGCCACAGTTTCTTGCTCATCTGGAGATCTCAAACACTGCAAGAAACAGGCATGTAGCCCCGGGGGGGGGGGGGGGGGGGGGGGGGGGGGGGGGGGGGGGGGGGGTGGGGCTTCAGCCCCCCCCCCCGAAATTCTCATGGTGGTTCGCGAAAAGGCCTTACTGGTGCATTATTTAAACTGTTATGTTTAGTCATATCATGATCTGATCACCATACTCAATATATCCCATATGCATGGGGGTATTGGGGTAATGATACAAAAGGTTTGCTAGGCTAGACCCTCTTTCACTCAGACTCACCCCCCCCCCCGAAACTCAGCCCCCCGAATCCCCCCCCCCCCCCCCCCCGAAACGAAATCCTGGCTATGGGCCTGGCAAGAAATAAAAGAAAAAGTCCTGGAAAGAATAGGAAATAAGCAAGAGGGAACAGGCTTATTTTCTGCTGCTGCCCTAGAGACTAGGACTCTGAGCAATCGGTTCAAATTACAAGAAAAGAGATTCCACCTGAACATTACGAAGAACTTTCCTGACTGTAAGAGCTGTTCAGCAGTGGAACTCTCTGCCCCGGAGTGTGGTGGAGGCTCCTTCTTTGGAAGCTTTTAAACAGAGGCTGGATGGCCATCTGTCAGGGGTGCTTTGAATGCTATATTCCTGCTTCTTGGCAGGGGGTTGGACTGGATGGCCCATGAGGTCTCTTCCAACTCTAGGATTCTATGATTCTATCCATCCATTCCAAGCTCTAATTTTAACAAGAAAGGAGTGATTTTAGTTGCTAATATCAAAATGTTGGGAGTGGGAAAAGGGCTTGCTTGGCAGCAATATTTGGTTGTTCCTTGTCATCTATAACTTCATCACACTACAGACACTTTAAATCTGGTTTCTGCCTCCTGCAGAATTCTGGGTTTGTAGTATAGGGAGGCTGTTAAAGGCTCCCCCTAAACTACAAACCACAGAATTCTGCAGGAGGCAGAAACCGGATTTAAAGTGGATTCATTCTCTAGTGTGATGGAGTCGCTGGTCAAGAAAAGACTTGTCAACGAATGTGTGTTCCTGGTGTATGAAATGTATATATGTGTGGAAGAAAAGGAAATAAGGTTTAAATCAGGGGTCTTCAAACTAAGGCCCGAGGGTCAGATACGGCCCTCCAAGGCCATTGACCCGGCCCTCGTTCAGGGTCAACCTAAGTCTGAAACGACTTGAAAGCACACAGCAACAACAACAACAACAATCCTATCTCATCAGCCAAAAGCAGGCCCACACTTCCCATTGACATACTCATAAATGTATACCAGTTAAAATTGTTCTTCATTTTAATTATTGTATTGTTTTAAAGTGTTTTTTGCACTACAAATAAGATATGTGCAGTTTGCGTAGGAATTCATTCATGCTTTTTTCAAATTATAATCCGGCCCTCCAACAGTTTGAGTAACTGTGACCTGGCCCTCTGTTAAAAAAAGTTTGAGGACCCCTGGTTTAAATAATCAGAATAAGAATTTGTTACTCAGCTCTCCTCATGCCTCAGTTACAACACAATACCATTCAAAACATACCATGAAACACATGCATTAAAACACACCATCACAAAATATATATATTTATAATGGCGCTCCATGCAGTCATGCCAGCCACATGACCTAGGAGGTGTCTACGGACAACGCCAGCTCTTCGGCTTAGAAATGGACATGAACACCACACCCCTGAGTTGGACACGACTGGACTTAATGTCAGGGGAAAACCTTTACCTTACACACACACACACACACATATAGTGCAAATAAAATAAATGCAAAGACATATTTTTAATTACCAATAGAATGTGAATTTAATATTTGCTGTTTAAAATTGACTAGATAACCTGCTAGATCTTTAAGAAAAGCTGTGTAAACAGGGGTATTGAAGGAGTTTGTTAACTGGTTGTATGACAAACACCCAACTATTAGATAGGAGCTGTCCTCAATTTTCACTTTGGCAGCCTTCCTCATTGGACCATATCAAGGTCCAGCCTATTAGGTGAAAATGGTGTTCCATTGCAAGAGCTAGGTGCCTTTTTGTTTCTTTTCTTGTCCATTTTCACAAGATTGAAGATTTATCACCATTATTCTCATGTGTGTGCTTATATGTATGAGTGTGTGTGTGTGTGTGTGTGTGTGTATATATATATATATATATATATATTCTATATAAATAAAAATGTAATTTTCGTTTGTGGGATTAACATAACTCAAAAACCACTGGGCGAATTGACACCAGATTTGGACACAATACACCTATCAGGTCAATGAATGACCTTCACGCATAAAAACACTGAAAAACACAGCAGAAGGGACTTAAAAAGCCAAAAAACAAAAAATGAATTACAACGCATGCGCAAAACCACATATATACACAAGCACACATATATACACATATACACAAATATATATATACACATATACGCATATATATACACACAAACACATATACACAGGCTGGGCCACAGCAACATGTGGCAGGGGATGGCTATTTATTTATTTATTTAAAACTTTTATATCCCGATCTTCTCTACCTCCGAAGAGGGACTCAGACCGGCTGACAGCAAAGATTAAATGCTAACATTAAAAATCTAAAACATAAAACAACAACATTAAATTACCAAATACAAATAAAATAAATTATGTAAGAGCTGTTCGCCAAGATAAAATTGTGTCCAGTTCAGTCCGTATAATCAGTCCATATGTTGTCCATATATTGTGGTCAGTAACTTTGTTCGATTGCCGGTCCCAGACATTATTCTGCAAAAGCTTTGTTCCACAGCCAGGTTTTCACTAGCTTCCTAAAGGTCAGGATGGAGGGGGCAGATATAATTTCATTTTGGAGGGAATTCCATAGCCAAGGGGCCACCACAGAAAAGGCCCTGTCTCTTGTCTCCACCAAACGTGCCTGCGAAGGAGGCGGGACCGAGAGCAGGGCCTCTCCAGACGATCTTAGCATTCTTATTTATTTATTTATTTATTTATTTATTTACTGCACTTGTAGACCGCCGTTCTCAGCCCTAGGGCGACTCACGGCGGTGTACATGTAAAAACAGGTACAATTTACGACATGAGCAATATCACAACAACATTAAACAACATCACTATCAATAATACAATTACACTAAATCATTCGCGACGTCTCATTGTTGAATCACAATCCAAATCTCGTTATCCATATTCCGTTCCAATCGTCATTGCCAGTTATTGCAGCACTTACTCAATCGCCTTCTCAAACAACCACGTCTTTAGTCTCTTGCGGAATGACATAAGGGAGGGCGCCAGTTTGATGTCCACAGGGAGGGTGTTCCACAGCTGGGGGGCCACCACCGAGAAGGCCCTATCCCTCGTCCCCGCCAGGCGCGCCTGTGAGGCAGGGGGGATCGAGAGAAGGGCCTTCCCGGACGATCTCAAAGTCCTCGTGGGCTCATAGGCCGAGATGCGGTCAGACAGGTATTTTGGGCCGGAACCGTTTAGGGCTTTGTAGGCCAACACCAGCACCTTGAATTGGGCCCGGTAGCAGATCGGCAGCCAGTGGAGCTGGTACAACAAGGGCGTTGTATGCTCCCTGCGTCCCGCTCCTCTTAGTAACATGGCTGCCGCGCGCTGGACTAGCTGGAGCTTCCGGGCCGTCTTCAAGGGCAGCCCCACGTAGAGAGCGTTGCAGTAGTCAAGGCGGGATGTGACCA